TTATTGTGTGAATTGTTCTGGTTCTGCTCACTTCATTCTGCAACAGTTTGTGCAAATGTTCCCAGTTTCCTCTGAAACATTTTGTCATACAGACTTTCCAAAGTAACAATAATCACAGGCAAATCACTGAATCTGAGCTTTAAAGTTCTCCTCTGTAAAGTCAGGACAGAGTGCTGGCCTTGGAGTCAGCGAGAACTGACTTCAAGGGTCACCCCTGACACTTCTAAGCCTCTTGGACAAGTGGGCTTGACCCCTCCTAACTTCAGGCAACTCCCTAGAACTGACCTACTAAATTGAAGACAAAATGCTAATATGTATTGGTGGAAGATGTTTCCCCAGCCTGATGAAATCACAGATTCATTTCTGACTCAAGGCCTATTGTAAAGAAAAATACTTTGTAACCATTAAAATGCAGCTTGGTCCAATAGAAAGTGCACTGCCTGGAATCAGAGGACCTGAGTTCAAATGCTGACTGCTAGTTACTACCTGTGTGGACTAGATATCCTTTGAAGTCACTTCCAGCTCTTGAGCTGTGTGTCATCCTATTAGAGGTGAGTTAGATCAGCTTGACTTGGGCCTAGCGGAGTAGGGCTACCAGTGTGTGACCTTGAACAAGTGCCTTAACCTCTTTAGACCTCTGCTTCCTCAACTGTAAAATGGAGGAATCAGATTAAGCCACACATCCTCAATGTCCCTTCCAGCTCTAGACCTGTGATTCTTTATTTTATTTTTAACAATCAAGAAACATTTGTTAATTACCCATTATAGACCTGGTACAGCCCTAGGGATACAGAGACAAAAATTCATCCATTCCTGCCTCAAGAGGCATATATTCTAAAAGGGGAAAATAACATGTCAATAGATACAAAACACATGCAAAGTAAACACAAGATATTTGGTACTGATCAGAGGTGGTGTTGGCACCAGCTCCAGGAGAATTTGAAAAAAGCCTCACTTGGGAAGGGGTAATTGAGCTGAGCTTTGCAGGATACTAGGAATTTTAGAAGGGAAATCCTTTCTAGGCATGGGAAAGAGCAGCCTGTGCACAGATGAAGTGGGAGATGGAATTTTTAAAATAATATTTCATGGATATGTTTAAAGGTATTAAATTTATTATACAATTTAAATTGTATGAAGCACTTTACATAGATTATCTAATTTGATTGCACATGATGATTCTGTAAAACAGGAACCACAAGTATGATTATTCTTATTTTATCGATATGGAAACAAGCTACAGATATTGTGAGATTGTTACGATCCCACAGATGGGAGGTGTCACAGGCAAGATTCAATCCCAGGTCTTTTCCAAGTGCAAGTACAGTGTTCTTTCCTCTAGACTACACTGCCACCCTAAATATTAATCTGGTCAACAGGAGAGCAAAAATAAGATGAACAAAACTTAGTGATATTGATCTTGTAATAATAACTAGCATTTATATAGTGCTTTAAGGTTTGCAAAGCATTTTACAAATATTATCTCATTTAATCCTCACCATAGCCCTGTAAAGTAAGTGCTGTGTTATTATCCCTGTTTTATATATGAGGAAACTGAGACAGACAGAGGTCAAGTGACTTGCTCACAGTCACAGTTGCTAAATGTCTGAGGCAGGATTTGAACAGATATCTATCTGACCGTCGGTCTAGCACTCTATCCACTGCCTCACCTGCCTGCCCCACATATGTATACATACATTTATACTACACAAGGTGTCCCTAAAATCTTGGTGCCACCTATTGGTTATGAACACTCTGACTTTCAGTGTTGTGATTTGCCCAAAATTTTCTTCAGGTTCCATGTAAGTTGTTTTTTTTTTAAATTTCAGCTATTTTGTAATATATTACCTTCTATTTTCTAAGCTTTAATGTACTGTGATTCTAGGATTTCTTTTCTTCCACTAGGACCAGGACCTTTCTTAGAATGAGAGAAGTTCTGAGCTCCTTTTGCTGCTTCCACTCACATCTTCCTCACCAACTTGTTTTTAATTGAAGGTCCAGCCTCAGATGCAGAGAAATTTATGTTCCCCATTCCCTTCTCCTAGAAACCTCCTTCGACCATGGCGGCAGCCTCAGAGGGCAGGACTTGACTGCTGGCCAGCAATCTTAAGAGTCAGATCTTGTCTTCATCCTCACAGCCTGAGACACTCTGTCCCTTCAAGCTTTAACAAGAACAAAGCTGTCATTTCAGGGAAGGGCTCTGTGGTGGGTTTTAATAGGTTTCAGCTGATTTATTGGCTCTGGCTAGCAGTTGGGAAGCTGTGTCATTAATATGCAAACCAGCCAGTCCAGGACAGCAAACAGCTGGGAACTACTCTAATCTCCATACAAGGCTTTGCTAGGCTCCAGTGATAACTGCCCCCATCTACAAGGCCTTTGACTGGCTTGATTTTGGCTTCCTAGAGACTATTCAGAGTGGAAGGGCCGAAACTTCCTAGAACACAGAGGTGGTATTTGTCACGGACCTGGGAAAGGAACAACCAGAAACTGCCTAGCGTATGAGAATTCAGTTCAGTTCAACAACCATTGATTAAGTACCCCTGACATGTAAGGACTGGAAGATACGAAGGAAAAGCCTTGATAGCTCTTAACCTCAAGAAGCTTACTATCCATCAGAGGAAATATCAAGAGTGGGACCATTCCACTCGGCAGAAGTTTTAATGATTCCTTCCTCTAGATCAAGGGTGAGGAACCTGTGGCCTCGAAGACACATGTGGCCCTCTAGGTCCTCAAGTTCAGCTCTTTGACTGAATCCCAGCTTTATTAAGGGGATTTGTTCTGTGAAGTTTGAATTTAGTCAAAGGGCCAGACTTCAGGACCTAGAGGGCCACATGTGACCTCGAATCCAAAGGTTCCCTACCCCTGGTCTAGAGTTTCTAAAGTCTTTGAAAGAAGAGTAATGGGACAGACCTCTTGTTTGTAAACAACATGCTTTGGAGGGCTCAACTAAAGACCTTTTGTAGCCTATCTTCCTTTTAGAATAGTAGTCCCTAAGGATCCTGCCCACTTTGGAGAAGCCTTCCTAACACAAAGGAGGGTAAAGAATTCAGCTGTTCTGATACTTAAACTTCCTTTATCCCATCCAACAAGCATTTTCACATAATATAATAATAAATAAAATTATATAGTGTATATTTATATAATATAATGTAATATATAACCTATTGTATATTTATATAATAGAATGTATAGTATATTGCAGATTTATATAATACAAAGTATAGTATAGTATATATTTATGTAATATGATATAACATATACTATACTGGATATTTGTATGATATAATACAGTATATGGTATATTGTATATATAATATATAATATGTTGAATATTTCTATAATATAATATACAGTATAGCATATATTTATATAATATTATGTCTATAATATGACAAGTATTATGGATATACTTGCCATACCTGTTAGAATGTAAGCTCCTTGCACTATGGATTTTTTCATGCTTTGTATTTCATTTGTATACCTGTGCCACCTACGTAGCTGGTGTCCTAGTGGATAGAACACTAGGAGTCGGGAAGTTGTCTGTTGTTGTTTAATTGTTTCCAAATCTTTGTGAACCCTTTCTTGACCCCATTCTGAGGCCTAGCAAATCTACTTCACCACCTAATTGCCCTTTGGAGTCAGGAAGATCTGAGTTCAAATATGACCTCAGACACTTGTTAGCTGTGTGACCTTGGGCAAGTCACTTAATCTCTGTCTGCCTCAGTCTCCTCAAATATGAAATGGGGTTAATAGTAGTACCTACCTCACAGCATTGTCAAGAAGATCAAATAAGATAATATTTGTAGAAAGTGCTTAGCATAGTAGGCACTATACAAATATTTATTTCTCCCCCCTCCCACAATCCCTGACTAGAACATAGTAGGTGCTTAATAAATTCTTGTTTGTTGATTTTTTAAAAAATGTTCTTTGAAAGAATCCACAGACTGTCCAGACTGTCCATATAGTAGTGTGCTAGCTAATGTTTAACCACTGGCTCTCTGGAGGAAAAACATATGCATGACACACTTTTAAGATTAATCTGCACTATTCACATTTTCTCCTTCACTTTCTTAAGTCTAGACAATCAACAAAACAATAAATCAAGCCCTGATTTGTAGTGTTTGACAATTCCTGGGTATAAATGCTCAGACTGAAAATTTAACAATTGTCTCTATTGACCTGATAAGAGCTGGCTGAAGCCCATCCCTGGGTCCATCACCTAAAAAAGGTTAAGAAGCTCTTGTATATCTGATATATCTGATCACTTGAGAAGAGAGATAGCACTAACAATGGGGAGGGGGAGAGATCAAGAAAGACTTTCCCATGACCTGAGCTCCAAAAAAAAATCTAGATAGGTGAGGGTGAAGACTGAGGACCTTCTAGTCATGGAAGACAACCCATGCAGAGGCTGAGTCCAGAAATCAAATGCAGAGTCTGGGGAAATGCAAGTAGACCCATTTGGCAATGACAAAATATTGGGGGGGGGCACCAATGTGAAATAGCTCTGGAAAGTTACATTGTAGCCAGATTGTCAAAGACTTGACATGTTAAATTTAGGAGTTTACATGTGATCCTAAAGCCACAAAGGAGCCCCTGAAGGTTCTTGAGCAGGGGAGTACCATGATCAGACTTGTGCTTTACAAGTTAAGAACTTCAGCTCAAAGCTCTCTTCTTATTCCCTCTTGCTTCCCAGTAGAGTTTAAATTTCTGACATCTGGGATCTGGTTTTGTACAGTCTTGTGCCTCCAATCCCCTTTATCCCGGGTGCCTAGTTTGGGTTTAGCACAAAGCAAGACCTTAGTAAATGTTTGATTTGGACAGATGTATAAATACATAATCCTTGAGTGGTTTAAAGGGCTGCAGCTAATTCCTGTGCTTTTTTTTAGGGCCACTGGAATTAGCTGTGGGGGCAAGGACTCTGATTGGTTGACCAGGGGCCACGCCCTGTTCTCCAAACGCTGAAAAGGGAAGTCGGATTGGGGACGGGGGGGGGGGGGGGGGTGGGGTCATCCCGTGTGGGCATCCACATTTAGCACTACAAAAGCCTGAGAGAAGCTTCAGCGGCTCTGGACCAGAAGGGACTGACCTGGGCAGGAGAGGGTGAAGCAAACCGCTGCTCTGCCCACCTCCTCCCCACTGCCACTGCCACTCCAACCCAGCCTGGAAGCTACTACCCAGGAGCCAGAACTCAGCTGCCTGTTCTGTTCCCAGAAAAAAAACAAAACAAGGACAAAAGAGGCCTCACCAGCCCGTCCCTTTGAGTCCCATGGCAGGCCTGAGCCCAACGCAGCTACGGAAGGTGGGGGAAACACTGGAGTGGTCACTGTTAAGGGGTAATGGGGACCCACAAGGCATGGGTTGGGGGTAGCGGGATGTGGTACCCTTGTTTAGCATAAATTTCCCTAGGAACTTCAGAGTTAATCCTCAACCTTTCCCTTCCTCACCCTCCCACTGCCACTGGAACTCAGCTTGTGCCCTAAGACCTCCCCCCCCCCCTACACAACTCGGAGTTTGCCAGGGACCTTGGACAGGGTTTCCGGAAGATTGGGATGTGAGGGTGCGGATGAGGGAGAAGTCGGGACTGGGGCCCAGGATTCCCCCCTGCTTCGATTGGAAGGGCCAGGAGAAAGAAAACAAAAAGCAAAAAACAACATTTTACTTGTGCGGAGCAGAAAGCTCTTGCCATCAGGAAGTGAGAGGAGTCGGAGCTCAGGGTGGGTGGAGTTAGGGAGAGACGGAAAGAGCCAGGGATGGGACCAGCTGCGCCTGGAAGGGAAAGACCATGCCAGAGACTTGGAGACAGGACCTTAAAGATCCTATAGACTAACCCTCTCATTTTACAGATGAGGAAAATGTCCATAGAGCTTAAGTCATTTGCCCAGCTGTTCAATGATAGAGCTGGAATTTGAATTTAGTTTTCTTGACTCCAAATTCAGTGTACTTCCCTCTGTATTAGGATGCTACCTAATCGTCCTGCTAGTTGGCAGTGGATAGGATGCAGTGCCTGGAGTCGGGAAGACTCATCTTCCCGAGTTCAAATCCAGCCTCAGGCACTTACTAGCAGTGTGACCCTGGGCAAGTCACTTAACCCTAATTGCCTCTGTTTCCTCTGGAGCTGGAGAAGGAAACTGCAAACCACTGAACAATAACCCAATCATCAGCAGCAGCATAGCACCACCATCAATAAGCATTCATTAAGCACCCCTTATGGAAGCAGAGTGGTAGAGTAGGAAGAGTCTTGGAATTGGAGTAAGCTGACACCTGAAATCAAACCTTGCCTGAGTTTACTAGCTGTGTGACCATGGACAAGTTATTTACCATCTTTAAGCCACAGTTTCTTCATCTGTAAGATGTAGCCAATAATACTATTATTTACCTCCCTCACAGAGTTGTTTTGAGGAACAAATGAGATAATACACTTTTTAAGCCTTAAAATGCTACAAGAATGTCAGTTATTACTAATATTGATATGTACCTAAATTTTTGCCAAGTACTAGGAATATAAAAGTGAATAGTATATAATCTCTTCCCTTAAGGAGCCTAAGTCTAGTTAGAGAAGGAAATGAGCATTTATTAAGCACCTACTACATGCTAAGCACTTCATAAATATGATCTCATTTGATCCTTACAACCACCTTGTGAGGTAGGTGCTATTATTATACTCATTTTACAGGTGAGGAAACTGAGGCAGATAGTGGTTAAGTGATTTGCCCAGGACCACACAACTACTAAGTGTCTTAGGGTCAAATCTGAATATCAAGTCTTCTGACTCCAAGCTCAAGTGCCAAGTGTTCTTTCCCCTATGCTGTATACCATATACTGTTGGTATATCTAGGCACAATGGATAGAACACTGGTCCTGGAGTCAGGAAGACTTGAGGTCAGAGTATGTCTGACAATTGGTCATTTGATCTCTATGTGCCTCAGTTTCCTTACTGAGGGATGAGAATACACATACAGAATGCCCCACAGAGTTGTCATGAGGAAAGCTGGCTTTGTAAACCTTCGGGTGATAGAAATGTGAGTTATTGTGTCATTTAATATATTTTATGCATGAATAAGATGAATGTAATGAAATTTTATAAATATAATAATATAATGAATCTCAGGCAGTTTAGGGGGGAGGGGGAGGTGAAGAGAGGTTCTGGTCTGAAAGAGGCTTCACCTCTCCCATAGTTCCAAGAGGATGGATTTCTGGTCCTGGAAGGGATATTTTCCCCCAAAGAGTGTGATATCATGAGGGAACAAATCCAGAAGATCATAGCAGAAATGGAAGTCCCATCTCACTGTCGTATTGAATTTTCTACTCAAGAAGAGGAACAGCTCCGAGCCCAGGTAGGAAGGTACTAGAATCCTGGTTTCCTGACTCTCACCATTGCACCACACTGCCCTCTCCTGGTCTTTAATATACACAGATCTCAGCTTCTCCCATGGCCAAATGAGAGCATTTTATATTAAAACCATAGAATTTTTAAATAGTTATTTTGGAGTGGCTAGAGAGTCAGTTGGCCTTGGAATCAAAAAGATGTATTTACAGTTCAGCCTCTGACAAATATATACAGGCTGTGTAGTCCTGGGCAAGTGACTTATTAACCTACTGGCACCCTAGTAAACTCTAAGCTTCTAAATGGTTGAGTAGGAATTGTTTTCCATCACTGAAGGGGGCTGCCTCACTGGGATTTCCCTGCAAGGATGCAATCCAGTCCAAAAAAAAAAAGTTCTCCGATTGTTTTTTGTATGGCCTAAATCCTATTTTATACTTCTCTTTACACCTAACAGCACTTAGCCCACTCAATCCAAAAGCATTCATTAAAGCACTTGCTATGTGCCAGGCAGTGTGTTAGGCAAAAATACAAATAAACAAACATCTATTCTCTCAAGGAACTTTCAGTCTAATACAAAGAACAATGTACAAATAAGATATTTAAGTTATATTGGAGATAATTAATAGAAGAAAGGCATTAACATTAAGGGAGACTGGGAAAGGCTTCTTGTAGAAGATGGGATTTTAGCTAGCAAAATGGCCTGGAGGTAGAGAGTGAAGACAACCCGGAACAGAGCCTGGGGTGAAGGGGGGTGGAATCTGTGGTTAGTGGGCATGACTTGGATTAAGATCCAGCAAAGGAAACTGAGAGGGACTAATCAGGTAGGTTGGGGGAGAACCAGGAGAGAGATGGGTCATGAAAACCTAGAGAGAGAGTATCAAGGGGAAGAAGGTGATGGACAGTGTCAAAGGTTGCAGAGGTCAAGAAGGATGAGGATTGAGAGAAGAGCCATTAGATTTGACAGTTTAAAGGTCATTGGTAACTCTGGAGAGAGTAGTTTCAGTTGAACAGTGAAGCTGGAAGTCAAACTGAAGAGAGTTAAGAAAAAAAAGGAAGTAGAGGCACTTACTGTAAATGGCCTTCTCAAGGAGTTTAGCCATGAAAGGAAGGATTTATATGGAATAATACTAGTGGGAATTAAAGGATCAAGTAACCGTTTTTTTAAGAATAGGGAGGGGCAGCTAGGTGGCACAGTGGATAGAATGCTGGCCCTGAAGTCAGGAGAACCTGAGTTCAAATTCAGCCTCAGGCCAAACACTTGACATGTACTAGCTGTGTGACCCTGGGCAAGTCACTTAACCCCAATTGCCTTAAAAAAAAAAAAGAATAGGGGAGACATGGACATGTTTGTAGGCAGTAGGGAAGCAGCCAGTAGACAGGGAGAGATTGAAGAGACTATCTTGCTTTTTGTCCTTCTATCCCTAGTGCCTTGCACAAAGCAGGAGTTTAGTAAATAATACAATATCTAGCATCTAAGGATAGCAAAACACTTTAAAAATATGATCTTCATTTGATCTTCATAACAACCTTGGGAGGCAGATAATCCCTATCCTATAGATGAGGAAACTGAGACAGAAGTTAAGTGACTTGCCCAGGGTAGGGGGTGAGGGTGGCGGGGAGAAGGGGAAGGAAAGGCCATCAACAACTGCTTAAATGTTGGAGGCAGAATTTGAACTCATTTTCCTGACTCCAGGTGCAGTATGCTATCCACTTAGCCACCTAGCGGACTCTAGCTCAATTAGGTTGAATGAGAGAGGAAAAATCCTGGAGTGGAAAAGGCACAAGACCTGGAATTCAGAGTAGGATCACCAAATTTTAAAACCTGGCTCCCCTCCTTACTATCTGTATATGAACCTTAGCAAAGTCTCTTTACTTGCCTATGGATAATCTGTAAAATGCAGAGAGGCTGTAGATCAGGGGTTCCTAACCATCTTTGTGTCTTGGACCCCCCCCCCCAAGCAATCTGGTGAAACCTATGACTTCCTTCCCAAAATAATGATGTAAGTGTATAAATTAAAATACATAAGATTGCAAAGGAAACTGATTGTATTGAAATAAAGATGTAATTTTTTTTCCCATCCAAGTTCACAGACTTCCTTGGAGTTTATCCCAGGTTAAAAATCCCTAGTCTAGCAAATTAATGATTGTCCCTTTGAGCTCTAAATTCTCTGATAATTGATGATAAAAAAATGCTGGTCTAGGAGCTACAGATACAGATTTTCAGAGTCATGAGCTTATGAGCACCTTGGGGGCTTAGTTCTTCCCCTCATCCCCTCCACATCCAGCTGAGTTCCTTTTCCCTGAGACAAAGATTATTGAAAATACTTTCAGTTTTAGGGACAGAAAAAAAAATCTTCCAACATTGTTAGAAGCTCCTAGTTCCCGAGTTAGTCACCCTCCCCCCTCCCAACACTTTAGCCTGAAGTCACACAGTGTCTGCTGTTCCTAGTCTATTTATCAGAATGAACAGCAGAACCCCTCTCTCTCTGCCCAGTGGCCCTTTCTCAAGATTCTGACTCTCAGAATTCCTGTAAGCTTTGGGTTCTCACTCAGAATCATGGTGCCTGGGCTCAGTCTATCTAACTGTGGAGAAGATACTATATTTTATCCCTTCCTACCTTACAATCTAGCCCAGAGCATCAGTGACTAAAACATTATCTTCTGAAAGGAGCTAGGATCAGGATCTAGACCAGGGTTCAGCGGAGGTCCCTAGCTAAGCAAGTGTCTAGCTCTATGCTGTCCCTTTGGAGTGAAGCATAAAAGAAGTACCAAGCCCCCACGAGCCCCGACACCACCCGCAGAACTGAAGAATTACATTTCAATCCTGGCTCTGCCACTAATTTAATGTGTGGCTTCAGACAAGTCCCAGACTCTTGAAAAATAAGGGAATTCATGATCTCTAAGACCCCTCACTTCTGGAGCATTACCAACACGCTGATGATTTGTTTCCCTCACTTCCCCACACCTCTCATAGGGCAATACTGACTATTTTTTGACCAGTGGAGACAAGATCAGGTTCTTCTTTGAGAAAGGAGTGTTTGACAAGGAAGGTAAGAAGTCGATAGGGGCAGGGGCTGGGCGATGCTTGAAGGGCTAGGGGGAGCAAGACAAATGAGTTCTTTTTTATCTTCTCTTATCTACTGAGAAATGGACTTTCAGTTTTTCCCTTGTTTGTATCATCTTTTTTATTTCATAGGCAATTTTCTATTCCGGCCAGAGATCTCTATCAATAAGATTGGGCATGGTAAGGATGGTTCTTGGATAGCCAGAGGCAGAGGGCAGGAAGCCCTGATGGGTCTCTAGGTACTTGTACACACTGTTCTTCCCTAGCCCTTCACACCAGGGGAGCTTGGTCTTTCCCTGGGGGGTGTTTCACCTTCTCTCTGCCTCCCCTTTTCTATAGTTTTCTAGTTACTTTTTGAATAGTAGGTATCAATAGCAGCCTGTGTTCATTTTCATCTGCCCCTGTGACAATTCTAACACTGAAGAAACTGCAGTCCTGTCCCAGTAGTGCTGGGGGCGAGTGAGCACTATGGGTCAGGGAGAGGTGTCTGGAGACTCCTGCTCCCCTTCTTCCTTCACAAACCCCTGGGTGGTCCTGGTTTTATCCTTCCCATCCCACACCTCTGGGGTGCTGTGGTCTGGGGGTTCCACATCTTGACCTGCCTCTAGCTTTCCTCGGTGGGAGGGTGGGGGTGAGGGTGGGAGAGGAAGAGGCAATGGATTAGGAGAACAGTTCAGATTCTGTCAGTATTAAGTCAGTCTCCTATCTCCTGTTCCTACAGCTCTCCATGCCCATAACCCTGTCTTTAAGAGTGTTACCCACTCATTTCAGGTACAGGTGAGTGAGGATAAGCTTCCTTAGATTTCTCCCCTGGGTGTCTTGAGCCCCTCCCCGTTAGTCTGACAAGAGCACAGGCCCCAGGTTGCTTTCATGGCTTCTTCAGCCTCATCCCAAAGTCCAGATAGCCTGGGGCTGATAATAGGAGGAACTCCTCCCACTACCACCTCCTTCACCTCCTAAACCAAAGCTGGCACAAAAATGGAGAGGATTCCCTGTGCCCCAGCACCTTTGTACTTTAAAAAGTATTATGTTATTCTCATGCTGTTAAGAAGAAAACAATGGATGCTCCCCTGGATCCCCCTACTCTTCCTTTCTCTCTCTGCCAAAGGGAAAGGGAGCAGTTTTAAACCCAGGCTAGAAGGGTGGGTAAGCAATGAGGCAGGGACAGCTCTATGAAGGTCTCCCGGATATGGGGTTAGTGGGATTCTGCGGAAATGCTGTCTTGGGTCTGAGTCAGTGAACTGAACTATTCCTTAGGAGTTGGTCAAGAGTCTGGGGCTTGAAGTACCTGTGATAGTTCAAAGCATGTACATCTTCAAGGTAAGCTTCCTACTTCCTACTATTCACTTTGGGGCCTTGAGGAAGTCTCCCTGGGATTGTTTGCCCAATTGCAAAATGCAAAAGGTTGTGAGGAACAAAGGATAACATAGGTACCAAAGCTTTTTGGAAGCAGCATACATATTTAAGGAATTGTAAGCAATAGCACTACTCAGTCCAATTTTAGAAGATTTTACAAGGAGGATGACATTCCCAACATCATGGGAGAAATTTTTTTTCTAAAATTTTAAATTGAGAAAAATACTTGTACCAAGAATGAAATGACCTTGGAAAATTCAAGATTTCCTTATTCCTCAATCTCTTCTCCCCATACCCTCCAATTCCTCTCTGTTCTCCTGTTTCATCAGACCTCCTCTCTCTTTCAGCAACCACACTTTGGCGGGGAAGGTGAGCTGTGCACAGGTTCCTGTTATAGCATGGTGCAAACAGTACATACATATTTGGTGATAAGGTTCTGAGGGGTGAGGAAATTAGCTCCCTGGCTCTTTGTGGGTAGGGCAATAGGGAACTATTTCTGAACCAGCCATAGATTACCATGGAATGAGGAAGGTTGTTCCTGATCGGGGGTGCTTTCTTTACCTGATGGTAAAGGAAAGGGGACAGGAAATGGATATTGGCTAAATGAAAAGGGAAAATTCAGCTTTGGGATCAAAAATGGGTGAGGGAGGGGGCCAGGGTATAGGCAGCCTAATCACAAGTTGGTGGGTTGTAGTCACTCCACACCAGGATGCCACCTTTCTCCACACTAAGCCACTGGGCCGAGTACTGGGTGTTTGGATCGCCTTGGAGGATGCTACTCTGGAGAATGGCTGCCTCTGGTTCATCCCTGGCTCCCACACTGGTAAGGGGAACCTCTGTAGAACATCTTCCCTTCTTTCTTGGTCTGCCCAGAGGGAAATTCATCCCATAGAGGATTTTGAGGCAATTCACCTGGCTGTTCTTCTTTGTGAACAACACAGGTGGCATTTCCCGGAGGATGGTACAGGTGCAGACTGATTCTGGGGGTTGCACCAACTTCATAGGCTCTGAACCGGTTTATGAGGAGAGTCGTTTCATCCCTACACCTATCCAGAAAGGTAAAGGTTCTAAAGGTTATTGCATGCCAGGCAGGAACCTGGGTTTTGGGTGATTATGTTAAGCAACTGGGTCCAACCACCCCAGAGTTGTCTCTGTGGGTGATCATGGTTTTAGGGAGATCATGGTTGTCCTTTTTGATAGCAACATTGGCCTTTTCTGCCCAAGGGGTGCAGCTGCTAGAACTGTTGAGAATTAAGCTGTTCCTATAATTTGTTGTTTTTGCCTTTGAGAGGTGCTCAGGTGATGGACTGGGGGTACATCCAGATAGGGAGACACAGACACTGGAATGGGACATGTTCAGGTACAGAAATGTGACCCTTTCATCCCTCCTGCCAGGGGGTCTCATCTTGATACATGGGGAGGTCGTTCATAAGAGTGAGCTGAACCGCTCCCCACATTCTCGCCATGCATACACCTTCCACATCATGGAATCCAAGGACACTCAGTGGAGCCAGGATAACTGGTAAGCCAAGGTGCCCCAGGAGTGTTGGACAGGCTGGCTCTTTTCCAGGGGCTATCCATATGCACTTCTTGCTTTCTCCAAACATTTCAGAGACCCTCAAGGCTACAAAACAACTGAAAATTTCAGCAGATTGCTCACGTCTCTCTTCCCCTCTTTCTCTTCAGGCTTCAGCCAACACCAGAGCTGCCCTTCCCCCTACTGTATACCTAATGCCAATCACCAAGATGGATTCCTCTGCTCTTTCAGATGAAGCCCTGGGCCTAACTTTTTGATACACCAAGTGGTTCCCTATGCTTCCCCAGAGGTAGGAGTGAAGTGTGTTACACTATCACTTGGACTTTCTAACCTAGGCCTGATACTTCCTCTGTGGAACATGACCCTTGTTCTTGTCCTGGACAAATGAGTACCTAGTATCTTTGCCTTTCTTCTTGGGGTCAACCCCTGGATAACCTTCAGACTCACCTGATAAAGAGGAAGAAAGCTGCCTGGTGTGTGGAGGTGGGGAAAGACTCTGGGGGAGGAGAGGTGGGGAAAGGGAAGGGGACATCAGTAAAGGTCATCTAGAGTGATGGTCATTGAATAAAAAACTACCAAATACACAGTAGGTACTTTCTGGTGTACTTTTATAAAACCAAGCAGCTTTGATTGTAAGAGAATAAAAATCTGTCATACCAAGCCTACCTAGCTTGTGCTAGAAGGAATGATTTAAGGGAATTTTATCACTAAGTTTGATGAAATAGAAAGAACTCTGGATTGAGTCAGCAAACTGGGATTCTAGTCCCACTCAGTCACTAATTCACTCTTCAATGTCAGGAAAGTCATCCCCTCTCTGGGGTTCAGTATTTGCATCTATAAAATGAGAACATTCTTTTTTGTTTTTTTTCTTGGCTAGGCAATGGGGTTAAGTGACTGCCCAGGGTCACACAGCTAGTAAGTGTTATGTGTCTGAGGTCATATTTGAACTCAGGTCCTCCTGAATCCAGGGCCAGTGCTCTATCCACTGTGACACCTAGTTGCCCCTTAAAATGAGAACATTCTTAAGCTACAAGGGAATGTCCACATTTATGATTAGGAATTTATGATTGGGTGTTGAGCACTTAGATGATTTCTGGTCACACACTGTAAGCCACTAATCAAAGTGACACGACAGAATTGAACAAACATTAAGAATTGGGTCCTTAGCTTAGCTTCTTGGGTAAGCTTTGCTTCTTGCTCTAATAGCTGCTCCCTTTAAGCCAAGCAAAATTCAGCCATCTTTCTGCTGAGCTTGCAGGAAAGATCTTTATTCAGACCAGGATTCCCAGCATAGCCAGAGAAGACACTGGTCCTCTTCAAGGGCAAGGAAAGGTAGGCTTTGAAGTAGTTCTCTTGGTCCCAGTATAAATTCTTAAGGGGAGACCTTCCACCATTCTATGGTTCTTGTCCTGAGAATCTTGGTGCTTACTGTAGTAAGAACCTTCTTGTTGTCAAGAGTAGGATGCTGCTTGAGTTAAGATAAATACAAGGATGCTATATTCTGCTGGAGCTGGAACAGGAGGAAAGCTGTAAACCTCAAAGTCACTTACTGACATATACTCTCGGCTTGCCCTGTCCCCTCCTACTGATATCTCTGGTAGACAGTTGTGAAGGGGAGAAGCTCTACAGGTGATGAAGTGGTAAGTGAAAAGGAAAAAATCACAAGTGATGGTTAGGATCTCATATTTTTTTTAACCCAAGAATTTTTTGTTTTTATTTTTCAGCCATTTGTGCCATGAATTCGTGGGGGATCGGTTTCAACAGCTCAGGTTCCTTGCCATTGGTTCTCACAAAGTATGCTTCTCTGGGTGGAGCAGGCTGGTGCTTCAGTTGAACCCAAGTGCCTTTTTCTTTGGCTTCCTTCTTCGTCTGATCATTTTCCTTTACCCGCTTCAGGAAGCTATCTCTGCTCTTAGAATGCTTAATATGCTCAATACACACATTAATTCTCTTGGCTAGAATCTTGCCCTTAACCTGTTTGTTTACAACAATGCCTACAGCAGATCTGTAGAGATGTTATTTATTTTACTGGTTCACAATTATCATTTAGGTCAGGAAGCACAGCTCTAGAACAGTGGTGTCAAAAATCAAATAGAAACAAGGACCGCTAAACTGTACGTAAGGATCCCTATAGACTGCATATTGACCTAGAAAACCATGTATTAACATCATCTATGTTTTATTGCATTTTTATTTACTTTGTTAAATATTTCCCAATTACATTTTAATGTGATTCAGCTGCACTCAGGAATATTATGGGTTGCATGTGGCCCTGTGATTTGGACCTCTGCTATAGAGTACTCTCCAGCTTCTCCCATTCTTCACAATTGACCCTCAATATCTATTCTATATCTTGTCTTAGTTCCTCTGCTACCTACTTCCACCCCTAGGTGCTCCTAATTTCCAAGTAACCAGCTATACTAATCCGGTTCTGATATTGTACCCTATGGCCCATTTAGGAGAAATAAATGGCATTAACTCAAATATTTACTCATTCACTCTTCTGCACTCCTCTCCCCCTTTACCCAGTTAAAACATTCTCATAAAGGTTACCAAAAGCTTCTCCCTCCACTATTTGCTCCTACAAAATCAAGTCCAGTAAGCAAAATCCAGTTTGCACAGTTCTGTAAATTATTAGGTATACATTATTCAAGATGAGAAGCTATTTTTCAAGGCTGAGTTTTTTATTTCTCTCACAAAAACTTTTTCAGCTCTCTGAATGGGCCCCATTGCTGCAAAGAATGTGTTTCCATGTGATTGAGAAAAATAAAATAAAAAATAAATGTTAAAAAAAATAATGCACTTCCACTGGAAACTCACTGGTATGTCCTTCCAATTCCTTCATCTGAAATGTTACCTTATTTTCAAATCAACAGAGCTGCAAGAGCAGCTTTGATTTTATTTTAAATCTTAATTCACTGCAAAAGTGAATCAGCTTTTCACCACCTGACCCATCATACCCAAATAGCTAATTGCTGACTATGGACCATATGCTTCCCTTCAACTCACTTCCTCCCAACATGATCTTTGCATGAAGGCTAAGCCATTAGCAGAATCTGGAGGTACAGAGGTAAAATAAGATTGTCTATTTGGGTTGTGTAGGCTTCCAGGAGGGAGACTATGCTGATAGACCCCAAAATCCAAGCATAGCTGGAGTTAAGGTCCACCCTACTATCAAAGATTAAGATCAAAGCCACAGAAATGATTTGAGCAAATATGGAAGTCATTGTCCCCTCAAAAGTCTTTAGAGTTCCTGGCCAATGGATCTCTCCCACTGTACTGCCAAAAATGGCAGCAATGGTGTCACCTACCCCCACAGCCAGCACTCCTGCATAAGGGACCAGAGCCCCAACCCCTCCCAGGCTACCCTTTGGGGCACAAGGTCTTGGGAATAGCCAGACAGGGAGAGACATGCCCAGCAGCAGGTAAATGTGAGTCAGGATGAGGGGGCCACTGTCCCTTTCGTCAAGGAAGAGGGAAAGCAGGTTCCTTAGAGTCTGGCCCAGGGGCTTAATTCGGAAGAAGCGAATATACTCAAGGAAGATAAAGACAGCCAGGCAGATCACAGCTGCAACATATAGCAGGAGTCGGTCAAATATGAGTCCTGGTATATAAGTAGCCACTATGATAAAGTGGAAATACTTCCGGGTAATTGTGGAGGCCTGATGCTTCTTTGACTCAGAAGACAATCTCTTAGCATTTTGGTACATTACAATTAGGCAGGCTGAAGCAGCCAGCAGGGACCAGTAGATGAGGAGGTAGATACGAGTTTCTGACTGGAATAGGAATTGGAAAAGCCAGAGCAAGGGGTTCTCCCGGATTAGGTGGTATAACCATGGCATGATGACACCAAGGCCCAGAACACCTGTCATTAAATGGAAGAAAAGAGAAGATGTCCAGTTTCCAGAGTCCATGAAGACAAAGAACATGGTGAAGAAGATACCCATGATAACCATCCCTACTACCACCACCAGGAGAAAGAAGTCTACTGGGTCTCCCCGGCCTTGAATAACATTTAGGGACCGCTTAATGAGCTGGTTGAGGACAAAGCTGATGCCCCCTAGGATGAGCAATGCCTCTCCTGGGGTAAAGCATCGGGGTAGCAGGTACAGCAGGATCATGTTGAGGTAGACAAAGATCAGCAGGACCTCAAGGACCTCAATCACCTCTGCCACACTCAGTGAGTGTTTCATGATGTAGATGATGACACTTCCAGCCAGACCAGAAATGACACAGGTGTTGGTGGGCACTGGTCTGGTGATGCCCAGGGCCAATACGGACAGGAAAAGTGCCAATGCCATGCCTGTGGCTGCCACCACAACGCCAAAGCGCTCAAAGTACACATTTCCTACGCCTTCACAGCGCTTCTTCATCACCACCCCCAGCAAAGGGATGACCATGGAGGCAGGCAGGAGTCCGCTGTTAGCTGTGGTCCTGAATTGAAAAACTGCAGCCCCCTGCTGGAGTAGCCTGTCCCACTTGTACTGGACATAGAAGGCCTGAACAGCTAGGGCCACAGCACACCAGGAATAGCGGTCCCATACTGAGGCATGGATGCTCAGCACCACTATAAACACAATGGCGGCTTCCCCCAGCATGGCCTTGCTTGTCATGGCTGCAGCCATTCGACTACTCTCAGGTTGGACCAGCGCTGCTATGTTTCCCTTCCACAAGGGTGGGGATTTGGATCATGGATGAAAAGGTGGGAGGAACCCTCTCTCTTGGAACCTGAGAAGGGAAGTATGCAAAAAAAAAAAAAAGAGCAACTGGTCGGCAGCTGCTTGCAGAGTACTCGTAGCGTCAGACAGCCTGGTGACACCCCTAGCCCCCGAGGAAGGGGCACGAATCAGTGACCCCAGAATAGACTTGAGACTCACTGTTCACTCTCCATCCACACTCAGGACGCGGGGAGGCAGTGAGAGAGGATGGTGGGGCGCGACCTCGCCGAAGGCAGCCCTGAAGCCGACACACCTCTCCTTTTCTCACCTCCTTTTCAGAGATGCAGGTCCAGCACCGTCTGTCCCTCAGCCACTTGGTCTTCCTGTCCTCAAACGAGAGTTTTCACCTCCCTGGGAGCCGCCATCTTGAGCCCTGAAGGTCACGTGACAGACGCCGTGCCAAAAGAGGGACATAGGCGGCTAGTAACCAACCTTTAGAGTATTCGGTCACACCCATACGTGGTCACGTGAGGCGGGCGGCCTAGCGCGGGCTATCCGCGCGGTCACGTGGGGGGGGGACGCGAAGATGGCGGCTGCCGCCGGCGGGCTCTGTGTGAGGTACGGGCCGGGAATTCTTAGTGCTGGATGGAGGGGAAGCGTGGAGAGAGGGAGCGGTGGTGAATGGAAGGCGGGAGGCAGAGAGAGGCCGAGATATTGAGGGAGTGGAGGAACCGGCGCTAGGGGTAGCGACGGTGGGGCCGGAGTGGCGGGCGATGAGACGGTTACTTTCAAACCGGCCCCCGTCCCGGGCATGAGGCCCCCCGCGCGCGGAAGGGCACTGGGAGGGGGGGAGTGAGGAGGCCTAGAGGCGAGTAGCCCCTCCTTCTCCTCGTGCGTGAGCGCGCTCGCCAGATCTCCCCCCCCCCCCCCCCTCCGCTGGTGCAGCAGTCCCCGAACTCCGGCGGGCTGGGGCTGCCCCTCCCGCCCGGGGGCGTGGATCTCTCCTGGGACCTCCCCCACCCCGCCACCTCCTACTCATCTGGCCCGGCAGAGGCAGGCCAATTGTGGGGAGCCTATCTGGCTGTCTGCAGTGAAGTTGCCTGCCGTCTTTTTTTGGAGACCGAGCTAGAGCGGCTGTCCTTGACAAATTCATTCATTACTTCAGCAAACTTTTATTAAGTGCTTGTTTTGTGCAAGGCAGTGTTCTGTGCAGTGGAGAAGGGCAGAAAAAGATTAATTTCAACAGGTTTTAAGTGCAAAAAAATTTTTATTATGTTCAAGGTTCCCTTCATTAGGAGAGATTCACTAGGGGAGTCTGTTCAGCAAACACAGGTGCATGGTAAGTGTAGGCCATTGTTCTCAACACTAAGGAAGATTTTTTTAAAAGGACTTAGTTGGAAAAAAGAGATATTTATTCAGGTACTAGGCTCTGAGATTCGTAGTATTTTGATGAATCTTTGACTTCATCAGTGTGGGTAACGTAGAAGGCAACCTCTCCACCCTCCACATCCTTGTCCATATGTTACCATAAGTCCTCTACAGAATGTCCATGGAAGACACTGTAATGTTTCCCTTGGTGGTTTTAATACCTGTAGAATTGAAAGAGGCCACCAAACTGGAAAGGATTTGTGTTTCACTGATATTGTATAAAGAGCCCCATCTCTGGAAGCAGAGGACCTACGTTCAAGTCTCATGGCTGATGCTTACTGTGTAACTTTAAGTTACTTATCCATCCTGGGATTCAGCTTCCTCATCTGTAAAAGGAGGGGATTTGATTTGCTTTGACTAGATAGTCTCTGAGATATCTTTTAGGTCAAGATCTATGAACTGTGTTAGACTGTGGTAAGACTGTTATCAGAGTGCCGCCCTCACTAAGTATAGAAAGGTTTGGATATCAGGTAATGAGTTTTTTCAGCTATTACAACTCAAAAAACATCCATCATATTGTGCTGGAAAAAGAGGAGGGATTTGAGATCATAGGATCATAAATTAAGAGTTTGAAGGGACCTTAGAGCCTATCTAAAGTCCAGTCCTTTCATTTTACAGATTAGGAATCTGAGGCACAGAATTGAAATGATCTGCCCATGGACACACAGCTAGTAAGAGTCTAAGGTGGGATTTGAACCCAGGTCTTCCTGAGTTGAACACCCTACCTAGAGATCTTTGCTGAAGGTAGAAGTTCCCATTCTCATGAGATCTTGGATCCTTTGGCTATTTTAATGCATCTGTGACCTGATTGATGTAGAGTTTCCTTCTATGACTCTTGATCATGTCCTCCTGTGAGATTCAGTGCTTCCTATGTTCAGGGTGCTATGCCAGGCTCTAGAGATAAAAAAGATGAAAAGAAAGGCATAGTCCCTCTCTCAAAAAAGTTTACAGTCTAGTAGTCAGTAATACATAGTACATGATAAGTAGAAAGGAGAGGTCCATATTGAGTTCTATGAAAAATATGAGGAGAGAGTAATCAAGGAAGCTGACTTGTAATAGAAATCTGAATGTGGCAAGTGCATAAAATGGGAAGTTAGCCGTGGGACCTTCTCTTGCAGGTTATCATAGCCCTCTGTGCCCGGATTTGTATCAGAGACTTTGTGGCAGTTGTCTTACCCTGTTTAGTTTTTTGTGTGATGTTACAGTAGCCAAGATCAAGATTCCTTCATCCTCTTTGTTGATATGTTTTATAACCGTTGCAGAGCCTAGGTGTGAAAGTTATGCTTCAAACACCTCAAGTTTCCTTGTAGATCAAGGCATGCTATTTTATTAAAAATATGTAAAAGAGTTACTACTGAACTACTTGTTGTTTAGTTGTTTCAGTTGTATCCAACTCTTCAGTATCCCATGTGGGGTTTTCTTGGCAAAGGTACTGGAGTGGCTTGCCATTTCCTTCTCCAGCTCATTTTATAGATGAGAAAACTGAGGCAAACAGGGTTAAATGATATGCCCAGGGTCACACAGCTAATAACTGTCTGAGGTTGGGTTATTGAACCCAGGTCTTGCTGACTCCAGGACCAGAGCTCTATCTATTGCACCATCTGCTTGCCCATTAAACTACCTATCAGACTCTTATCAGAACCCTAGAAGTGATACCACTAACTCAGTAAAATGTATTTCTAGTCATGGAGTAGCTTGTGGTCTATATTAGAATTAGCTCTCCATTCTGTTGTTCAAGATAAGCCTCTTTTCAGGAAAAACGCTGCAGCTCCTTCTTAAAATGTCTAGGTTCTTAGACCAAAAGTTGAAAAACCTAGGTTATATTTCTGATAGTTTTTGCCTGACTGAGTGCTTTACTATTATTTTTAGTTAATTTATCTTTAGTTTTCAGCATTCAGAGGAAACAAAACAAAACAGCAATGCAAGTGTCTAAGACATCTCCAAAGCTCTCATGATGGAAAATACTATCTATATCCAGAGAAAGAATTGTGGAGTTTGAATGCAGATCGAAGCATACTATTTGCTCTTTTTTTTTTTCCTGTTTTGTTTTGTTTCCTCTTTCTGGTGGTTCCTCCTATTGGTTCTAATTCTTTCTTACAACATGACTAATGTGAAAACATGTTTAATAGGAATGTATATTTATAGCCTATATTAGATTGTGTACCATCTTGGGGAGGGGAGGGAAGGAGGGGGAGAAAAATTTAAAACTCAAAAGCTTATGGAAGTGATTGTTGATAAATCAAAACAAATAAAATATCAAATTAGCTAAATTAATTAATAAAAATAAACAATTAAATAATAAAATAAAAAGTAAAATGGAATAAAATAAAAAATAAATAATAATAAAAAAATTTTAAAATGAGGGTATAGACTAGTTTGCCTCTGAGTCTCTTTCAGCTTTGGGTCTGTGCTCCTATGATAGGTCACATGGAGTGTTTTGTTTTGGGCTTAGAAGCCAGGAGATTTGGGGTTTCTTTTGTAAAATACTTATGTAAGGTACACCTTTATTTTACTAATATGATAGACAGTGTGGAGTAGTGGAAAGAATGCTAGACTTGGGGTCAGGAAGACCTGGGATTGAATCCTGTCTCTGACACTTACTAGCTGTATGACCATGGTTAAAATCATTTGATCTCTCTGAGCCATAGTTTTCTCATTTCTAAAATGGGGGATAATAATTCTTGTGATACCTGCTTCACAGAGTTCTGAGATCCAAATAATTTAATGTGTATAAAGTGCTTTGCAAACCTTAAGGCACTATATAGATGTCAGCTATTATTAATATTCTTCTGATTATCATTGAGCAATGAATTTGGGCATGCTTCTTGTGATGGGTAGAGAAAACTCAGTGAGGGGAAGAGATAGTAATATCTGATGCTTTTTCCTTGTGAGTATCAGTCCTTAGGAACCAAATACAGATTTTTTAGATATGTTTCAGATCTCTTTCAGATCTCCTTAATTTGAAAATTCTGAAAATTGTCTTTCAGACTGGAAAGATAAATTTCTATTATTTATATTCTATTTCAGTGATCCATGTGGGTACTTCTTTACCAATGTAAATCAAAAGTTCTCCATACCTTAGTAGAAGTTTGTGTGAGTTGCTATTGCCAGAGAACCTCATCACTTTGATGGCCAGCCTCCTGGTGATGAACCTCTCTAAATTCAGCTAGGATGGTCTTTAAATGACAACAAGACACATTATCCAATCCATGCATTGATCCAAGAAGCTTTTATAAAATATCGTTCCCAAACTTTTTATTCCTCTTCATATAGTCTCCTGAGGGGCCGGTATGGTAGGACACATTTTAAAATTTAATTCTAGATTGAGTGGCAAAGTTGTGTAGTAGATAGCTGGCCTCAAGAGTCAGGAAGGCCTGGGTTAAAATCCCATCTCTGATATATGCTGGCTGTGTAAACCTGGACAAGACACTTAACGTCTCATGGATTTATACTCAGCACTCTTAAGAGACTAAAATTTGTAGCGAAGGTGTTGACCTGCATTGGTAGAGGAAGTATCCTCACCTAGGAATTTCATATACCAATGAAATCACAGGGTCCAGTCTCTCCCTAATTCTGGGATGTTTAAAAAAAAATTATGTTTCCTGAATGACCAAAGAGGATATTTCCAAGAGATATAGAACCAGTGACAGGCAACGTGAAATATGGATAGAGAACTGGCCGTAGAGTAAGGAACATCCATGTTCTAATCCTTTTCTTGACACATATTAGCTGTGTTAATGTGGAGTAAGCTCTCAATGCCGACTTCTCAGTTATAAGTTATGGACAGATGCTGAGCTATCTTGGTAGAATTTTCCACACTGGAAATTCCCCACAGAATTGAAATCACAGGTCTGAACCAAAAAAAGAAAAAACCAACATGATTCTCCTTTTACAATCGGCTCTGCAGTTATAATGTTTGTTTTTTTAATTTAATTTTTTTATAATGGGTTTTACAGTTTGATTAATATTGCTTTCCAGAAGTGAATGGGACCCTGAACATACGTTGTTTCCTTTTCCAGTCTTATTTTTCATTGGTTGT